AAAGCTACCATTCACTGGACATTTTCTCTTTTTTGGGCTATTCTCTGTAAACCCTAGAGATGATTGAGTGGGAAAATACCAGTAGATCAGCAGTTCCTGAAATACTCAGAACAACCTGTTTGCAGCCCACAAACATGCTACGTTCAAAGTCACTTAAATCACCTTTCATTGCCATTCGGATGTTCAGATGAAGTTAAGCAGGTAATCTTGACCATGTCTACATGCCTAAATGCTTGGAGTTGCTGCCATGGGATTGGCTAAATAGATATTTGCATTAAAAAGCAGCTTAATTGGTGTACCTAACCAAGTAGCAAGTGAGTGCAGATAGAGTCTACATAGGTATGAATTTCTGTTTACTCTAAGTTTTTACATTATTATAGAGTATTTTTTTAAACAACTACCACTACCACTAGTATGCTTGAATTAATTCATCAATTGTTTTATAATTAGCAGGGCTTGAGCAGGTGAAGTGTTCATTCTTTCTCAAGTAAATAAATACGTCATACTAGTTGTTACAGAGAAGATTTTCCTACAACTGACTGTTTAATTAAAAAAAGAATGATGTTTACAAGACATTACTGCTTCCAGTGACATCCGTGATCCCACATCATTTTGTTGGAAATTAAATTGACTGATTGGGGCATTATGTCTCTCTGCTCCATGGGATGTGCATCCATGCATATTCTCGCATGTTAAACTCAAATGAAGCAATTATTCTTAGTTTGACAGGCCAAATATTTCTCTCTACAGGTATTAGCTATTACACATACAATTTAAAACTATTTGCATTGCTATGCAAACGCATAGCTTCATCACCCTGTTTACTACAAAAGTCCTAACACACTTTATTTAGTATATTGCAAAACCTTTCCCACACTAATACCAACACTGTCATATATTATCCCCGTTTAACATTTACGTCTTCAAATGTCGTTTTCTCTATTTTCATGGACGACCGTTGTGGTTTTTAATTAACAGGCAGATATTGCTGGCTCAGATTTGCTCTGTTTATTTAATAACTAGAATATACTGCGTTTGTAGCGATGCTGCCTAACATCCCCATCTTGCGGTAAAGGTGAGCTTATGCGTATTATGCCACTTAGATAAACAATAAATGTATATAGATGCTTGTGCTATTATTTGCTAACTATGTACGGGGAAAATAGAAACATTCATGATATGCAAACATTAACTAATATGAAGCAACTCACCCCGGAGAGTTCAAGAAGCTGGGAGACCAAAAGAGGCAGTTTCAAGGCTGCGACGCTTCCTGTCACTCCAACAAGGACATTAAATGTCCCGGAAGTTTTCAACAAATCAGTTTTTAAACTTGACATATGGTCGTCTTGCTGCCTGTTAGAATACTGCCAAAAGAAAAATTAGACAACCTGTCGCGTTCCTGTGACACTTCCGTAAATATTCACTTAGCCAATCAGGGAAGAGCACGTCTAACGTTTGTGCCTCCTGCACGAGCGCGTCTCAGCACTGATCAGTGGAGAGCGCGCACGTTCGAAGAATATTCTGGGTAATTGCTAAAGTCCTTCCAGGGCAGCTAGCATGAAGCGTGGAGCGTTCATTCATTGTTTGCCCGATTAAAAAAAACTGATCAAAAACGCAATAATGGCACTCACACCTCTTGTTTATTGGGCTCAACGCCATGAAGACATTTACCTGCGAGTTGAGCTGACAGATGTTCAGGTGAGAGTACCTCCTGCAGTTGCTTGTCACGGGCAAAACGCTTTAGCATGGTTCTGACTTTTTTTTTTCTTTTCTTTTTTAAGCCTTGTGTTTGGGCCTCTGATGGTAAATGGGAAGCAATGCAAATACAGACGAAAGGTTCCTGTAAACGTTATCCTGCTGGATAGCTGTACTATTTGCATACTGTATGAGAACTGAGATCTCTTATCTGATAACTGATCCATACAAAGCTCTCTGTTGAGGTCCTTCGTTCATTATGTAGTACGTCTAAAGCCACACAACCTGTTCGAACCTGTTTTTAAAACCTGTTGATTTTAAGAATATTCGTGTTAACAGTTAATCACATGGGTGAAAAGTCCTAAAAATACCCGTTGGAACTACTCGGAAGGCGGGGTGGGTGGGGGTGGTAGCATTGTTCACGCGGCGCTCGTGGGGTTATGTGTGAGGGACAGGTGTTGTTACACCTGTAGATATCACATCATCCCATACTACATGCTACAGGAGGGCTTCTCAGCACTCGTTTTCTTCTTCTTTTTATAGCACTTAACTCTATTTCTGATCATGTAACAGAAGATTCAGGTTAGAGACTTTTTAAACCACTTATTTTACCTGGTAATTAAATATCCTATGTGTTTTGCAATATAGTTTGTCACGGTAATATGTAACATAAGATTAATATCTTTGTTTCGGGTTTCTGTTAACAGGAAGTAAAAAAATTCTTGATCTAGCGAGGAAGTATGCTTATCCTTTGCCTGTGTTTTTGCAGAATATTGACGTCCACGTGGATGAAAATGTCCTTCACTTTTCAGGTGACATGGATTCACGGATTTCATTTGCATTTGGTGATTAAAGACATATTTTTAAAAATATTTTTGTGGCATTTCATTTGTGATATCCTGTTTGTAGCCCAGGGGCATGGTGCAAAAGGACAAAATGAGTACAAGTTCAGCTTGGACTTCCTCTTACCAGTAAAGCCACAGGTATGCTGAGTAATTCTATAATTTATCTTGTGGGATCAGAAATATATCTATAGACAGAATAACTTTAAGATTGCTCTTAAATCTTTTCCTTTCCTTTCTTTGGTTTTCCTGTTTGTGCTCATTGCGTGAACCTGTAGGTCAGCTACAAGTCCACACAGCGGCAGGTGAACATTACAGTGCACAAAATACAGCGAGGTTGGTGGGAAAGGCTGACTCTCCGGGAGCGTAAACCTGTCTTCCTGGCACCGGACTTTGATCGCTGGCTGGACGAGTCAGACGCTGAGATGGAAATCAGAGAAAAGGTAAGAGTACAACTTGGCATTTGACAATTGTTACTAGATGACACTCGCAGATAAAGATTAAAAAATGTCAGTATGACTAAAATAATTGATTAAAGACTGTACTATTTTCATTTTTTAAATACTTTTAAAAGGAGGAGAAAAAGAACAGGCTGAAGGCTTCAAGACAAAAAGAAGAAGGTGGGTGCAGATAATATATTGCACTTGAACATTCTGTTTTATCAGATGGCTTTGAAGGGAAAACTGCTGATACAATTTTCCAATTTCTTTGAAATATTTCAGGGTTCGTCAGCCTGAAAACTGTGTTCTTGATTGTGTACAACCTGGTCCAGTTTCTTGGTTTTTCATGGATCTTTATCAACATGACAGTGCGCCTGTTTATCATTGGCATAGGTGTGAAAATATATTACACAGGAGAAGCTGAAAGTGTCACTTACTTCACAGAAAACTGGTTAAAACATGTCCGTTCAAAACTCTTTTCAGATTCCCTCTATGACACATTTCACACAATTTCGGATGTGATGTTCTTCTGCCAGATCCTGGCATTAGTAGAGGTCCTGAATGCTGCTTTTGGTGTAGTCAAGACAGGTGTTATACCAACTCTTATACAGGTATGGGATGGGTTTTTTTTGTTGTTTTTTTTGCCTGAGTTCAAGTTTCCTAAAGTTACAGATTGAGCACCAATATACATCTTTTGTTTGTGCACTAGGTGGTCGGAAGGAATTTTATCCTCTTCATCATTTTTGGTAGTCTGGAGGAAATGCACCACAAGCCAGTTGTGTTCTTTGTTTTCTATCTGTGGAGTGCTATTGAGATTTTTAGGCAAGTATGCATTTTCCTACTGTCTACAGTAAACAGTCATCTAGTGATATATAGTACAGCTTTAGCCAGTTGTATTTAAATAAAACTAAAATTGGATAAGATTTAGAGCTTTGCAAATGTTTGGAACAGTTACAGTTTTTTGTTAGATTTTATTCACATTTCAGCCTTGAAACAGGCAAGTAGCAGTTGCATCTGAGCTATAATTTTATAAGAATGTGTAACTGTGGATGCAACTTTGTGTAATTTTATTTGGAGCATGACTTTTTTTTTCCTTAACCAACATGCTCATCCTTTTTCAGGTATCCCTTTTACATGCTGGGCTGTTTCAATACAGAGTGGAAAACCCTCACTTGGCTGCGGTATACTGTCTGGATGCCACTGTATCCACTAGGTGTTTTAGCTGAAGGTAGGCTTTTTTTTTTTTTTTTAAACAAAATTTGATATATGCAAACATGTTTATAGACTCTATTATATATACTCTTATCTCTCAATCCCACGTAGCTCTTGCAGTGATCCAGTCCATCCCCATCTTTGATGAATCTAAACTCTTCAGCATTCCTCTGACTAAAGTGATTGGCACCTCTGTCAGCTTCTCTTACTTCCTGTACATTTATCTTGTTCTTATGTTTTTGGGTAAGTCCCCACATGAACTGTCTCTCACATGACACATATATTCTAACTTAACCACTGCTGCTCTGATATTAATCTTGGTTCCCCCTCCCCCCCCACAAAAGGACTTTTTATCAACTTTAGCCACCTTTACAAGCAGAGGAAGAGGCGCTTCCGGACCAAAAAGAGGAAAGCAAATTGAGACTCAACACCAACAGCATTCCTTGAACACCTTTGCTGCCTGCTTATTCCTCGACCTGTTTTTAATAATCATCATCCTTATGTCAAATTTATTATCAACTCAATTTTTGACAGCCTGTCCATATAAAAACTAAAATGACTTCCTTTATGGCTATTATTAACACAATAGATGTGCAATGAGTACAGAAATACTGCATCGAGCAAACTTATTGGTGACCAAGTTTGCATACACATACCGGTACATTTCCATAGCACCTGTGTGATAGTGCCCCCCCCGCTCTTAGTCTTGTTTTTCTCCCACGCAGCACTATTTTGAGAAGCACTGATAAGAAAACCCTGTTATCATTTCATATTCAGTCACTGCCATATGTATAAAGAAAACAAGTCATCATTCCACATGATAAGCTCTTGGTTATAATTTCACAATTCCAAGCCATTCCACAAAGCTCAGGGACAAATAACCAGACTGCTTAAAAAAAAAAAAAGTGTCCATTGTGCTCAACAACAACCTTCAAGGAGCAATGTTAAATTGTAACAGGTTTTTTCTGGCTGCTTTTTTATTATTTGCACTTGAATTACGAATGCCAACATTAATAGCTGTTTACTCTGTTCTGTAAATGTGGCAGTTATTTGACAATGAATAAAAACCTAATTTTAATGTGGTTATTGTGTCAAAAGATTCCTACAAAGGAACATTTATAAAAACAAAACAACACTGAATTCCAAAGATGACTTCGTAAAATAATCCCGTGAACGTCTTTACAGGGTGTATGCAACACTGCAGCACATTGGTCCACGCAGGCGGAGCCTATGATATTTTGAGTTCATTCATACAAATTCGGATGCGGCTCAACTTGAGAAATCCGTGTGCATGGGAACAATGTTGTGATCAAAAGCAGCATACTGGGAGTCACCAGTGCTGGCCAATTTAAGCTGCTGTGCAGCGTGGGAGAGCTGGAAAGCAGCATCAGGATGTGCCGAGTCTGGCAGCATGGTGCACTCTCTCTCCAGCAGATCGGCAACTCCCTTCAGGAGCTCCCAGAAACCAAAAGCCAAAGCAGCCTTACGTAGACGGTTCAGCTCCTGTCAGAATCAAAATGAAAATATAACATTTCATTTTTGGAAAAAAACAAACATAGCTTTAAAAATTATAGTTTAGAGCCACTCCAGCTAATCTTACCTTATAGAAGGTCTGAGTTTTATCTGGCAGTTTCCTGGCATTCCTCAGGATCTTCTGGACATCAGTCTGTACAATGACAGCATAAAAAACGAGTCAATGAATCAAAAGGGCCCTTAAATGTTTTGACCAATGAAATGTTTTTATATTAGTTTTAGTGATTACGGCTTGAAAACCTGAAATCCAGTATCTCAATTAGTAGAATATTTATTAGTTGATCTGTATTGGAAATTGTTGGTTCATCGTTTTGTTAAGTACAGAGTTAACAGCCATCTACAAGATGATTTTAGAGTACTCTATGCGCAGATCTTCTGATAAGCTTCAGTGAGATGCAGATTTCCCTTTTTCAGCAGGAGTAAGCACACATTGCTAAATCTATGAGCAAATGGTTTGCTGACAATGTTATTACTGTGCATGACTATAGCCAACTAATCTGATCTAAATGCCAAAGAGAATCTGTGAGATAATGTCAGGAAGATGAGAAACACAGACAAGCTGCACTATCGGCCATCTATCTATCAAAGCAACCTGGGCTTCAGTGCAGATCATCTCCATGCCACGCCGCCTTGATAAATAATAAAAGCACTCAAACTAAGTGCTGAGTGTTTACATGAACTTTACAGTAGGTGGACATTTCTTTATTGTCAATCTTTTTTTGATTAAACTTAGGAAGCATTTTAATAATCTGAGACACTGGATTTCCGTTTTTAAATGAGCTATAAACCACAAGCCTCAAGATTTATATCAAATAGTAAATATTTCGTCATATTTTTAGGAAATATTTCACTTCGTGTGTAATGATTATTGAATAAACTACAAAAACGAAAAACCTTTTGATGACATTTTCCTTTGTTTTTTTAAGATTCACTAATATAAGATTACATAGTTGGTCATGTAAAGATTACTCTGAATGACAGACTTGGACTGACCTGAAGAATCAATATTTGTTTGATGGCGACAATATTGACAAAATCAAATACCAGAAATTCCTGGAGTAATTATTAATCACAGGAACAAGAATTTCAATAAATATTAACCAAGCTCTGCTGAAGAGAGTTCAAACAAAGTAGAGACTTGCTGAGCCCACTGTAGAGGCAGTGAACAGAGCAGCCTCTGAGAAGCCAAGTAACTCATTAGTCAATTGCAAGAAATTAATCTGAAGCTATTTTGACAATTTCGCAAATAAGCCTTTTTTTCTTCTTCTTACACAGAAATGTCAGAAATTAATCGCTTTCTGGGTTTTTTTAAAAACAGAAAGCAGTTCATTAAAAGAATATAATTAGATAAATTTATCACTGACAGAAATGTATGAAATGTTTGTCTTTTCTCCAAACTTTCAAGAGAAAAATACTCTCACGCAGTAATTTTACTTCACCTGTAGTCCACTGGCCTTAATCCACACGGTCACATTCTGGGCATAGCTACGTTTCACCTGTGGTTGTACAGGAAATGGACTTTTACTGTCATCCTCTCCGTAGGGATTATCAGCCGCTTCTGTGACATGAGAAAGGTCACGGGACAACATAGTGAGGTCAGTCAATACACTGCATCATGAGACACGTGAGAAACCCAGGTGAAGTATTAACTACTTGATCGTGTCCACAGTCTGTTGTTCTTTAGGAATACTTGTGCATGGGTCATTGTGTCACATGTTAAATAAAACACAGAGTTTCAGAATATCCCTAAAATGGTTTCCGGATTAATTTAAGCCACTGGGGGAAAAAAGAAAAAAAAATTTAAAGACAGTGCACTTAGAAACCCCATATAATCTTTTGTAAACACAGAACTCTTCATATTTGCTCATTTGACCCTCATCTGCAATGAAACTTGGCATGGTGGAGAGATTAAAAAAAACAAAAAGTCACCTGAGATTGGTCCCAAATGTGATATCTTGCCCAGCCAGGGCAGAGGCTCCGGACCGGGATCAAAAAGAGACATCATCAAGTTTGATTTCTTCTTGCTGTCTGCCTGGGAGTACAACATGCCGTACCACTCCGGCCTGAGGGGCAAAAAAGCAAACTACATATACAATTTGTTTGCATAATATAGCAGTCTTTATGGTGCAGGTTAATATAAAAGAGTTTATATAACAGCTCTGCTGCATCTCACCCCAGCTGGACCAGTGCCACCATGCCTTCAACCTTCAGACTTCCATGTAAAAGTACACAAAAATTGGGACTTTTGCCTGCCATCTGACTGGCAGAAGGTTCCTCCTCAAGCTCATCTGTGGTTCCCGTACCAACTTCATCCACATCTAAAACCAAGTACACATAATAAACTAAATCATAAATATTTGCTATTCTTTATTAATCAGAAAAAAATACTTGTTTTCATTTCTGCTGTTAGACTGTGTTAGACAATTTTACTTACGTTTTTCTCATCTCTTCTATTAATGTTAGTTTTAATCTTTTACATTACAGAATGAGAGCAATTTTTTAAAGAAGTACTGAAATAAATTAGTGTGCATGACAAATAAAGGAAGCTCGAACCTCAAGGGATTTCCCAGCAGCTTTGCTCTTCCTTCCTATTTTGTTGGTTTCTTATAGTCTGAGGCATTTCCTGATTCGTTCGTTATCAACCTTATTTACTAAAATTGATTTGTTCTGCAACAGCAAACTCTAAAGTTCTTTTTTCTTTCTTTCTTAAGTGAGTTAACATAAAGCTGCTTGAACATTTGGGTGTTTACATCTAAATACGAGGAGATGTGCACAAGCTGCAAAGCTAATATGTCACCAATCCGCATTTCTCTATAACTGGAACATAGCAAAAGTATTAAAACCAACCTTTGTTTACAGCAATAGGTAATACCAAGTGTCTGGATATGACAGGAGGACTTGCAATGTCAGCAATTTCAATGAAACCCACAATCTCCAAATCTGAAAGGCATACAAGAGAAAGATTTGTTTAAAAAAAATGAAGAATTTAAAGAGGATACGAAACACTAAACATATAAAGGCCAGTTTACATCGTGGAGGTCTGCTCTCAAAAACTGACATAGATGTAACACTGTCTGTGAAAGAAGTGCTTAAAGTTTACTTAAATAAGAACAGTGTAGAGGACAGACTGTTTGAATCACCAGACCGACAGAATGAAGTCAGAAACTGATTTTTCCTCCTCTAACCAGCTGTACTGTGCGGCACAATCAGCTCATGCAATCAGCTAAGTTTCTTAGCCCAGCACAAAAATGATCCCCTTAAACGGATTTTCAGTTTTAGTGTCTTTATTTTCCTTAGAGTTATTGATTCTCTCACTAGTTAGCTAACGTAAAATAATGTAAGTCTACTAGCTGCCACCAGCCAACCACATGTTGTCATGGTCCGTACTGACAGAATAAAACTTCAGCACTTATTTCTTAAATCCTGCTTCACAGTTACATCTATGTCAGTTTTTTAAAGTAGGGTTCCATGATGTAAATTAGCTTTTATGCATGTAATGTTTCATGACCTCCTTAAATTAAACTAATCATAAAATCTGAAGCCAGTACCTGTACTAACAGTCCGGGGCATAGGCTCCACCTCTTCATCCATCACGACAGGCTCAGGTCGAGGGAAGACCTGAACATCTGAGGATAGATTCCCACAGTGCAAAACCGCGTGGAAGGGAGAGTATACAAGATCGATCAGCTTCCTGGGGACATGCAGATATAGAATATGACCAAAGATGCCCTTACTAAACATATGAAAGAGGTTAAAATGTTTTTTGTGAATAATCTAAACAGTTACAGTAGTACCCAAACATGGTCTGTACACTCTTCATGCAAAGCGGTCCCTCCATAGTAAAGATTTGCCCATCCCCTCCACTAAGGCAAAGTAATTCCTCCAGGTTGTCCATGGCATCAGTCATCTGTAACTGAAATTACACAAGACAGTGGGTCTAATTTTTCAAAGCTGGGCTATTTAGCTAGATTAAGTTAAACTTTTACATATTTGCAATTTAATGGCAATTTCCACATTCTCAATTAGACTGATCATGCTTCCTGAAAGGTACTGACAGATGGAATAAATATAGATCTAGGGCTGAGACTGTGGTATGGGGAAGACTGGTGGTTGCTCCTGGGCCTCGCAGATTCCCATGTATGAAAATGAGAACTAAGAACCTGAGTGAAGGAAGTAGCCATACAATAGTCATATGACAGGGAGTGAATGAGGTGTGGTCCCCCTCCTAAAAAAATCTCCATGAGAAACTTCCCGGGCACTTGGGATACAATAGCACAAAAACTTTAACTGATAAGTGCTGTGAGGTTATCTATAGCAAATTTTTGTCTGTCGATTCTGAAATGCTGACAGAGAAATCATCTTAAACCTTTAATCAAAGGTCACCTCATCTACAAATTTCATGACGATAAACATTTCACTCACATGTACTGTACCAGTGTACCTGCACATGTGATGTGACAATAAAAGTGATTTGATGAATACCTGATATTTAATAACATGCAGGGTTTTCCCCGACTCAAAGTTGGTGACTATTTACAACCATGATTAGTGTGCATATAGTCAACACAAAAAGACTGTGCTATTTCACTTATACTTATAAGTTTATACATTTTATGTTATTTTTTTGCTATTTGAAAAATAAAATGTATTCAAATTTATTTTTTAAATAACAGCTTTGTGAAGTGACAGCCTCTTTGTTGGAAGCCAAAATGTTTTATGTGCTGGAAAACTATAGTTTGAGTCTGTGAAGGTAGAAAGCAACTGTCATACTGCTGTCATCCTAAAATGTTCACAGAAATGTGTGATTTACAGGTGTCTAACACAGGCAATATGACCCTGAATTGTGTTTTTGATAGCTGCTTCTGGTATCATGTAACTGTAAGGATGGCTCAATACCTCCTCTGCATTGGCAATACACATGATGAACAGTTTGGTAGGAAAAGGGAAAGGAAGAGGAAATTTCTTGTCATCCCCACGTTGTTTCAGTGTTTGGAGGGAGTGGCGTAAAGACCCCTTCCCAATACCAAGGGATCCATCAGTAACCAGCACCACCTACAGGACATATGGAAGAAGTACATAAACATAACTCAGTATATGAACATATGGTTCAGATCACTGCAGGAAAGCTATTCGACCAATAATAAGCAATAAATAAATCCAATAAATACAGAGGTGTGGCGATACTGAATAAAGTGTTAGCCAAATACCTGACAGGGGCAGGCACTACCCCACTCCTGCTGTACTACATTACTAACTCCATTTAGAGCTGCTTCAACACAGGTTTTGTCATAGTCTTCCAGGTTGCTCAGAGCCTCCTGTGCAGGAAAAAAAACATACGGTAATCCCAAAATCAGACCGCTTTTCAAGGAAACAAAATATACTTTGACTTTTCAGACAGATATGTCACATGAGCACACTTTACCTGCAATGCATTGTAGTCTCTGGTGAAAGGTACCAGGAGTTCCCACAGGGAAGAAAAGGCCATCAGCGACGTGAACTCCAAGCGGTAGTTTGAGGCCATGTGTTCAAACAACATATTGAGTCCGTGGACAGCCAGGTTCTTCCTCTGAAACTCTTCGATGCCATCCAATGACACTGGTCGTGTCATGGACAGAGACACGTCCATTAACACCACAGTAGGCATGCTCACCGCTTACAGATCCCAAATATGAAAACAGAAGTCCGCTGCAATGCTCCCACTGACGGTTTCCACTGCGTTGTCGTCGCTGAGGCGTATTTAGCTAGAACAACCAAATACACAGGCGCCGTCAGTAAAGATAAAGAAGAAGGGACATATGGTAACATCCGAACTGTTAGCTAATGTTGGCTAGTTTTTCGGCTAATTTACATTAGCATTATGTAACGCTACGGCAAACGAATGAAATGTTCCAGCTGCCATTTAACCAAAATTACATTATAACTATCCAAAACCTAAGATACAAAGTAAAGAAGCGGTATCAGGAAAAAAAATTACTAAAACCTACGCGCCTTTCAGTTTTTACGCTAACTAAACAATGGTTATGGTGTACTGTGCACCAGCACTTCCGTCCGGGCTGACATTAGTGTACACATCAGCGGATAGTTCCCGGGAGATAAAAAAACAAAACAAAACCCATAACAACAACAATAATAGTAATAATAATGATAATGATGATAATAATAATGATCTGGCTGCAGACATAACTTTTTATCATCTAGAGATGATAAAAAGTCTTTGTGCAAAACAAGTCTTTTGGCGACTTGTTTTGCACAAAAGACGGGCCGATAAGCAACGCCCACTTTAAAGCCCTGACCAGTAAAGATTTGGTGGACGCGTTTCAAGGTATCTACCCACATTTTCAAAATACATTTTCACAGTTTAAATATTTTTAAATGTATTTTAGGCTTTCTGGAATCTGCTTTGATGATTAGTTTAAGATGAGACGCTACACATAATCCTATTAGTCGGACCTAAAGTAGGTTATAATGTTTACGGTGAAGACTTTTCCAGCGTCATATCTTATAACTTGAACATTCCTTAGATGTCTGCCACTATGATTAAAAATTATAATATTTGTTTTGATTATCTGAATAGAACAGAACCTCTGAAAATATCCTTATCTGGTGCTGTATTTGAGTTGTAATTGCAAAACAGTTCCTAAACTTTTTGAAGAACCTTTTTTTTAGGTTTTGAAGTGGAAGTGGGAAGTTGGGACTTTTTTTGATTGATTTTTCAAAAATGAATTGTACAAGAGGAAAACGACTGCGGCTGAAAAAGCTTCTTTTTTTTTCCTCTTTGGGACTCTCCTCTGTTCCCTCTGTCAGCTGACTGTCAGTGCCAGACCAGGTTTGCCTCAGAACGGAGAGGATTTCAGGGGGAAATTAACAAAGATACTTGAGGTGGAATCTCTCACTGCAAAGCATGATTATGATCCCCAAGATCAGACGCATGTGGTAGATGATGTGGAAACAACCTCAGATTCCAACATACCCACCACTACTGAGTCTCTATTACTGCAAGTCACAAAAGGGTTTATCTCTGCAGCCTCTAAGCTTCCAAAAGAAATATCTACAGCAGCTCCAGCTCCTCCTGCACCGACCATCCTTCATGCTCATTATCCTCTAGATATCTTTTGGCTGGGTGATCCTTCACCTCATTGGGATCATTTACATGTTTGTGCTGCTGGCGATCTTGTGTGATAAATTCTTTGTTCCTGCTCTCAGGGTAATCAGGGACAAGTTAGCCATCTCCTATGATGTGGTAGGAGCCACCTTCATGGCTGCTGGAATATCCATCCCAAAGCTTTTGGGTTTCTTAATAGGAGTCTTCATCACCCATGACAACTTTTGGCACAGTTGCGGGCTCAGCAGTTTTCAGTGTTTCTTTTGTGAATGGATTGTGTGCTTTGTTTTCTCAGCAAGTTCTCCACCTGTCCTGGTGGCCTCTATTAAGAAATATGTCATTCTACATATTTGACCTCATCGTACTGATCATCTTCTTCCTGGACAATGTCATAATGTGGTGGGAGAGCATGATGCTGGTGGCTTGTTAAACTCTCTATGTCATTTTCATGAAGTTTAACGTGCATATAGAGCACAAACTCAAGACCAAACTCCACAAACACAAGAGCATTTTTAAAGCTATTGCTGCAGAGGAACCTGACAAGGTAAGCTCTCCTTTTCAGAGGTCTTATGTTGAATCAGACAAGAATTGAATCTACTGTTTGGTATTTATGTAATTTTCAAGAGCCTAAAATCTGTATTATCTTGTTTAAAACCCATTAATTTAATGATTTCAACCGTGCCCACAACAATCCTTAACTGACAATATCATCATAAATGTAGTTTCACACATAAACCTCATTTATTGGTCACTGTTAACTGGTTTGTAATGACTGCTTTGATTTAAAAAACCATTTAACCCCAGATGGTATCTACACCAGTGATGTGTTACAATTTTAGTGTATGATTGGGAACAAAACTACAGAGTGTAGTTCATTCAGATGTGTCTGTAAGTATGTTTTGCATCTATTTAAAGAATTAAAAGAATTAACACAAGGATAACATGAATGCCAGGCGTTCACAGAAACATATTAAAAAGTTACCAGTTAGACAAATACAGTGGGGCAAAAAAGTATTTAGTCAGCCACCGATTGTGCAAGTTCCCCCACCTAAAATGATGACAGAGGTCAGTAATTTGCACCAGAGGTACACTTCAACTGTGAGAGACAGAATGTGAAAAAAAAAATCCATGAATCCACATGGTAGGATTTGTAAAGAATTTATTCGTAAATCAGGGTGGAAAATAAGTATTTGGTCAATAACAAAAATACAACTCAATACTTTGTAACATAACCTTTGTTGGCAATAACAGAGGTCAAACGTTTACTATAGGTCTTTACCAGGTTTGCACACACAGTAGCTTGTATTTTGGCCCATTCCTCCATGCAGATCTTCTCGAGAGCAGTGATGTTTTGGGGCTGTCGCCGAGCAACACGGACTTTCAACTCCCGCCACAGATTTTCTATGGGGTTGAGGTCTGGAGACTGGCTAGGCCACTCCAGGACTTTCAAATGCTTCTTACGGAGCCACTCCTTTGTTGCCCGGGCGGTGTGTTTTGGATCATTGTCATGTTGGAAGACCCAGCCTCGTTTCATCTTCAAAGTTCTCACTGATGGAAGGAGGTTTTGGCTCAAAATCTCACGATACATGGCCCCATTCATTCTGTCCTTAACACGGATCAGTCGTCCTGTCCCCTTGGCAGAAAAACAGCCCCATAGCATGATGTTTCCACCCCCATGCTTCACAGTAGGTATGGTGTTCTTGGGATGCAACTCAGTATTCTTCTTCCTCCAAACACGACGAGTTGAGTTTATACCAAAAAGTTCTACTTTGGTTTCATCTGACCACATGACATTCTCCCAATCCTCTGCTGTATCATCCATGTGCTCTCTGGCAAACTTCAGACGGGCCTGGACATGCACTGGCTTCAGCAGCGGAACACGTCTGGCACTGCGGGATTTGATTCCCTGCCGTTGTAGTGTGTTACTGATGGTGACCTCTGTTACTTTGGTCCCAGCTCTCTGCAGGTCATTCACCAGGTCCCCCCGTGTGGTTCTGGGATCTTTGCTCACCGTTCTCATGATCATTTTGACCCCACGGGATGAGATCTTGCGTGGAGCCCCAGATCGAGGGAGATTATCAGTGGTCTTGTATGTCTTCCATTTTCTGATGATTGCTCCCACAGTTGATTTTTTCACACCAAGCTGCTTGCCTATTGTAGATTCACTCTTCCCAGTCTGGTGCAGGTCTACAATACTTTTCCTGGTGTCCTTCGAAAGCTCTTTGGTCTTGGCCATGGCGGAGTTTGGAGTCTGACTGTTTGAGGCTGTGGACAGGTGTCTTTTATACAGATGATGAGTTCAAACAGGTGCCATTCATACAGGTAACGCGTGGGGGACAGAAAAGCTTCTTACAGAAGGCGTTACAGGTCTGTGAGAGCCAGAGATTTTCCTTGTTTGAGGTGACCAAATACTTATTTTCCACCCTAATTTACGAATAAATTCTTTACAAATCCTATCATGTGAATTCATGGATTTTTTTTTTTCACATTCTGTCTCTCACAGTTGAAGTGTACCTCTGGTGCAAATTACTGACCTCTGTCATCATTTTAAGTGGGGGAACTTGCACAATCGGTGGCTGACTAAATACTTTTTTGCCCCACTGTATGTAGTTGCAACTATGTCAAAAATTGAAATGATACTGTCTGTAAAGTTGCAGCATTGTATAGTCTGTAGCATAAGATGATTAAAAACACGAGGAGAAGGATCAGTCAGTTGATAAGAAGATTGTCTCAAACAGTGGTCTAGTTGTTATTAAAAAAGACAGAAATCATGGTACATATTAGGTACTGTTGCCAGTCATGATTAATGAACTGCTTCCTAGGAGAATCTACCTGAAGGAAATGATGACAACAAAGCCAGAGCTGATGAAAACAGAGTGGAGGAGGATCAAGATGAAAAAACAGAGGAGCCATTGTCTTTACAGTGGCCTGACTCAGGGTGGGAGCAAGCCATCTACCTGCTTAGGCTGCCCGATGTTCGCAAAAAGGTGATAATCAGATTCTTCTTTTTGATTTATTGTTATTTTTATTATTCTTACAGATACTGTAAGTAATCTAGGTGTTTTCCTGGATAGTTCATTTAAGCTGGATAAACAGGTTTCCTCTGTGGTTAAATCTGGCTTTTGTGCCAATTGTGCCAAATTTCCAAGGTCAAACGTTTAATACCGTACAAAGATCTTGAAAAACGTATACATGCCTTTGCGACCTCCAGATTAGATTAATATAACTCTCTCTACTCTGGACTCCAACTCGCTCACCTCCAACGATTAGAGCTTGTTCAGAATGCTGCGGCTCGTCTCCTAACCGGAACTAGAAAGTTTGCCTCCATTACTCCAGTGCTCTCTGATTTACATTGGCTGCCTATTAAATTGCGTATTGATTTTAAAGTTCTGCTGCTTACTTTTAAATGCCTAAACAACCTTTCACCTGACTATCTCACCGACCTCCTCAGTCTCTATACTCCCAGCCGTTCTTTTTGATCATCTGGTCAGTTACTTCTGGCCCAGCCTAGGCACCGTTTGAAGACTAGGGATGATCGTGCCTTTGCCTCTGTAGCACCAAACATCTGGAATAGTCTTCCTGCTACCGTTCGTGCCTCTGACTCCATTCAATCCTTTAAAGCATGCTTGAAAACTTACCAATTCAACCTGGCTTTTCCGACTCTCACCGCTCATTAATTACTGTATCGTTACTCATTTCTTTGGATTATCCTGAATTCTCCCTATCTCTACTTACTAATGAGTTACAGTGTGTGACCATAGAAATGTTTTATTCATTGGACAAAACTATGCAGTTATCAAGCATATAGACAGCCGTGTAAATAAAAAAAACTAAATAATCAGACATCCGCTCGGAAAATGTATAAATAGTCTTTTCTGAAAAAAAACCCCCAGTGATGGTGTGACTGTGACGTCAGGGGCCCTATATTACGCCCAACAAAATACAAAGGCCTTCTATCCTGCGCACTGA